CTTGTGTAGCAAATTCACCCATTACAATTATCTTTTGACCCCTTCTTGCTGCTTCCATGAACATGGATTGTGGATCCAAGCAAGAAAAAAAAATCCATGACAACTTCAATCTGTTCTCCATTTATCATGATGTTACCTATTGGTCCAGTTGTGAGGATTTTGGTTTTCTTTATATTGAGTTACAATCTACACTGAAGGCTATAATACTTGGTTTTCATCAGCAAGTGATTCAAGTCATTCTCCCTTTCGGAGACCGAGGTGGTGTCATCCACATGTGGCAGGATACGCCTTCCTCCGGCCCTGAAGCCACACTCTGCTTCGTGTAATCCAGCGTCTCTGATGAGTTGCTCAGCGTGCGGACTGAACAAGAGTGGTGAGAGCACACAACCCTGATGCACACCTTTCCTCATTTAAACCGTGCAGTAGTCCCTGCTTCTGTTTGCACAGCTGCCTCTTGATCCAGGAACAAGTTCTACATGCGCACAATCGAGTGGTCTGGAATTCCCGTTCTCCTCAAGGTTATTCATAGTTTATCATGAGCCACCAGTCGAATGTCTTGGCATACTCAGTGAAGCACAAGTAAACATCTTTCTGGTCCTCTCTGCTTTCAGCCAAGATCCATCTGACAGCTGCAATGATATCCTTTGTGCCAAGTCCTCTTCTCAGTCTGACTCGAACTTCAGGCCGTTGCCTGTCATTGTCCTTCTGCAACCATTGCTGGATGATGTGAATCAAAATCTTACTTGCATGCGATATCAATGATATTGTTCTATATTTGAGCATTCTGTTGGATCACCTTTCTTTGGGATGGGCACAAATATGGATCTCTTCCAGTCCGTTGGCCACGTAGCTGTTTCCCACATTTCCTGGTAGAGAGGAGTGAGTGCTTCTAGTGCTTCATCAGCTTGCGGAAACATTCCACTTGGTATTCCATCAATTCCTGGAGCCTTGTTTGGGGCATGAATTTCTTCCTTCAGCACCAGAATTGTGCATCATTCAGTATTTTGGCCACAGAATCTTTCAACATTGCAGCTTGAGACTTGAATTTTTTTCTTGTGTTCTTTCAGCTTAAGATATGCTGAGCATGTTCTTCCCTTTTGATATTCTAATTGTGGTTCTTTACACATGTCATTAAACTATTTGACTTTATTTTCCTGGGTTCCCTTTGAAATTTTGTATTCAGTTCTTTGACTTCATCCTTTCTTTCATTTGTTTTATCTACTCTAAGAGCAAGTTTCAGAGGGTCTTCTAACATCGGCAATGATATTGTCTTTCTGTCCTGTCTTTAATGACCTTTTGCTTTCTTCGTGAATGATGATCTGGATGTCCTCCCATAGCTCCTCAGGTCTCCTGTCACTAGTGTTCAAGGCACCCAATCTGTTCTTGAGATAGACTCAAAATGCAGATGGGATAGACTCAAGGTCATATTTGGCTCTCGTGGACATACACTAAGAACCGAGTCTAGGCAAACAAAACCACAAGGCACGTCTGACTGGGCTTCATGACAATGGACCTTGAGTGGGTGTGGAGGTAGATTCTTCTTTTTACCTGTGTGTCAGAGAAGGTCATATATGGTCTCCACACCATTTACTCACGTGGCTTTAGGGTGGGCTCCCTTGCAATGGCCCCAGGCCCATAGGCTCACGTTCCCTCACCCACAGCCACTGAGTCAACTCTGACGCGGCTACCCTGTCGGGCAGAGTGGACCTGCCCGTGTGGGTTTCCAAGACTGTGACTCTTTAAGGGACTAGAAATTCAAGTGCTTCTCCCACGGAGCAGCTGGTGGATTTGAACTGCCAGTCTTGTGCTTAGCAACCCAACACGTAACCACTTGACCACCAGGGCTCCTAGGTTCTTGGTTCACGGTTCATGGCTCATTGGGTTTAAGAGAAAGGAGGACGGGGGCTGGGAAGTAAAGTCTTTGGTTCTTAGCTCCCTTGGTTGTTGTTACCTGGAATGGCTGACAGGAAGGTAAGACTGATTAACATGCAGCCAGGAAGAGCAGGGCTGCGTCGAGGATTGCCCGGGCACCAACCAGACTGGCCAAACAAGATGGCTGCCAGAGCCTGGGCCATGTGCCTGCGCATGGGATCGTCTGCGATGGGGAAGAGTTGCGTGAGCCTGAGTGTCTTAAAAGCGTTGTGTGCTTAGGACTACCTATGTGTTTACAGTTGTGCTTTATGGTGATATGTTTAGGATTATGTATTTAGGGTATGTGTTTAGGGCTATGTGTTTAAGGTTATGCATTAGTTTAGTTGACTGTGCTATGAATTCCAGTTTGCCTGCCGCATGTTGTGGTGCAGACATAAATGTGGGAAGGAAATGAACACTGGGAATTATGACCAGAGAGAGCTCACCAGTCCACCTTTACCCTATAGCTGATTGGATTTGGCTAAAGGGGGTGGTGGTGTATTAAAGGAATGATCCATTTTATTATCTCCCTTATTTTCAAACTAAATTGTGGGTATGATTATAACAGCACAATTTCACCTAACTCTAGAACAAAAGTTAGCAGCCCTGTTGCACCATGGTGATGAGTTGAGCTGCTGACCACAGGATTACCAGTTCAACCCCCCACCCCCACAACACACACACACACACACACACAGACACCTTCTCCATGGAAGAAAGATGAGAGTCTTCTCCCACTAAGATGGACGACAGTCGCTGAAACCGAAAGAGACAGCTCTGCCCGTCCTGTCACATCACTGTGAGTCAGCAGCACTTGGAGTTTGACAATGAGACCCCTCGTCAATCCCAAATTCCGTCTTTGGACCACTAATATGCCCACAAGAGTGCTGGCTCCAGTCCTGCCCCTCCCTTACCTCACAGTGCACAGAGCTCCCTCTGGGTGGGGCTTCCTGGGAATTCATGGTCATGGTCTAGTAGACAACCCTGCCAAGTCCAGGTTGGGTTGAGCAGTGGGATTAGAGTCCAAGCCTGGGTCGGGACTTGGTAAACTAAGGCCCCTGCTGGGCCACTCCGGAAGGGCTGGTTCCTATGAGGAGATCGGTATGAGGTGTAACGTCCTCTGTAAGGGACTCTGGCGGCACTGAGGGTGGAGTGCTGGACTGCTGAGCACAGGCTGGCAGTTCAAACCCACCAGCGGCATCCGGGGTGCAGGTGAGCATTTACATGCCCATAAAGATGTAGTGTGAGGGAGCACACAGAGCAGTTCCACTCTGTGACGTGGAATCACCCAGATGCAGGGTCTGAGTCCATCACGTTGTTGATGGTGATTAAGGGCCGCAGCAGTCTACAGGCCTGAGTCTGAGCTGCTCCAAGACTGCCCCCCTTCCCACTGTGGGCCCAGCCCCTGACCTAAGCCACCTGCAGCACTGAGATGCCACCGCCTCAGATAACAGGCAAGGCAGAAGGGTTTCCGGGGAGCCGGAAACATTAGGGAAGTAAGAGCAGCCCCCCACCCCCCACCACCACCAGAGCGAAGCAGCGGAGGATCCTGATGCTGGAGACCTTCTGAGGCTGAGGACTTGGCTCCCTGTCAGCTGCTATTTCTGGGTTTGCCTGCAGGCAGCGGGAGGGAATAGGGGACTGTGAGGCTGGGGCTGGGGCTTCAGCTGGGTATGAAGCAAAGGTTCTAGAAGCTTCTACAGGAGGTTGCAGAGAGGGCTCTGTTGGGGGAAGGCATCAGGCCCTAGGGAGAGGGTCCCAGGGCTGGGGACTGGGGGGAGGAGTGCGCCCAAGGCAGTGAGTTTGGGGTTGTAGACATGGGAATTCTGGGGCTAGGGGCTGGAAGCTGGGGGCTATGGGGAGAGGGGCCCAGGGCTGTGAGCTTGGCCCTGTGGCGAGTGGGGTCCAGGGTTGATCTCGCCCTGTCCTGTCCCAGCGCTCCTCTCTGGCACTTTGGCCCACGCCCCAGCCCCAGGAGCAGTAGGGCCTGGAACTCGCAGAGGGGCAGCTGCCTACATCATCGTGCTGGGTGGAGCAGCGGGCAGGGAACAGTGGACTGACATGGTGGCTGTGACCTTAGGCTCAAACCTAAGCATGACCATGTGGCTGGCACAGGGCCAGGCAGTGTTTCCAGTCTGCTGTATGCCAGGCAGCAAGAGCATCCTTGCTATGCAGGACCCCTGGTGGTGCCCTGCTTAAGTGCTTGGCTGATCACTGAAAGTTCAGGAGTTCAAAGCTACCACTTGCTTCTGGGGAAATGGGTAGCAGTCTGCTCCCAGGAAGACTTACCTCCCATGGGGCAGATCTGCCGCGTGGGACTGCCCCGCAGTGAGGGTCTGTTTCTGTGTTTTGTATGATTGGTCTCAGGAAGGCCTGAGCAGGGTGAGGGTGAGGGATACCCAGGAGACTCAGGGGAAAGGTCTGGTGTTCTAATTCCCCAGGAATACAGCCACCGAGCAGCCTCTGAAGCAGCTACGCTCCACTGAGGGCAGCTGGCAACTCGGGCATGCGCGCACCAGAGGAGACAGCTGGGCGTATAGCAAGGTTGCTGGTTCAAGCCCCCAGCAGCCCCATGGGAGAATGACGAGGCTGTCCACCTGGCTATCTGTCACCTGCATTTGCTGGATGCTGCGTAACCTCCCTGCTGTCTGGGTGCCCTGTGGCAGGGGTCTAATGGGGATTGGGCAGCTCTGCTCCTGGACCCTCATCTTCGGGGACCAGCAGGCTGGCTGGTGTTCTTGGCTGGCAATGACCTGTGCACACATGCCTGGCTCCAAGCACCCAGGGCCTCCCATCATGTCCCAGGAAAGCCTGGGATGACCTCAGGGTGATCCCGGGCAGCGGAACGGAGGCCGGGCGGGGGAGCATACTGAAGTGGAGGCTCAAGGCCCCTGCTGTGGCCACCATTCAATGGGCTCAGCTCTCAGCCCCAAACATGCCCCCCTCCCTCGTGACCCTGCTGGTTGTGGAGCAGCTCTACCCCAGCTTCCACCCAGGCCCCCTCCACCCCCAGTGAGGCTAGACGGGTACAGTGTGCGACACTGAAGGAGGCATGAAGCTCTGGGCGCTGACCCGCTCTCTGCCCGCAGATCCTGGCTAATGTGATCATCTTCATCTGCGGAAACCTGGCGGGCGCCTACCACAAGCACTTGATGGAGCTGGCTTTGCAGCAGACCTACCAGGACACCTGCAACTGCATCAAGTCCCGCATCAAGCTGGAGTTCGAGAAGCACCAGCAGGTACCCTGTGCTCCCCCGCTGCTCCCGCCCAGTCAGCCGCAATGCTGGGCCCTTCCTGCTGATGGCGGCGCCCACCCAGGCATCAGGGGGCAGCAGGAAGGGGCTGCCGATGCCACGCTGATGGCAGGGGTGGGCACAAACAAACCTGCCCTCTGGGATACCCCTTTTCATGCTACACCCACCAGGAGTGCATGTCTGGAGGCTAGGGCCTCTGCTCAACCCACACCCACCAGGCTGGGACTCCCCCAGGCGCCACACCCCACAGGAGCACGTGGCTGGGGTCCAGAGCTGCACAGGAACCTCACCTCTGTCTGAGCAGTTGGCCCGTCTTCCCTGCCCAGCTGGTGACCCTGCCCTTGAGCAGGACCAGGTGGGCAGTGGGAGGAGGGCCTAGCAGGGTCTCAGTTGCTGTTGGCAGGGGCAGGTCTCTGAGGTGGCCGAGGTGGAAGGACACGTTGGTGAGACATGCACATGGTGGTGAAACACTGGGAAACCCTAGCGATGAGGCCGGGGAGGGGAGGGTCACTCATAGGGGCGGCCAGCAGGGCACCGTTGTGCTTTGATGGGAAAGCTGCATTAATCCAGGACCTGGAGAGACCTGCTTCTCTTCAGGGTGGCAGGTGTTAGCCGTCTGATGCCAGGATCGCATGTGGGGGTATTCAGCAGAGGCTTCCTCTCACCGTTCCTGGTTGGAAGTCTGAAAGCCAGAATTCGGGACACCAGCTCATAGTCTCTCTCTCTTTCACGCACTGGTTCTCTCTAGTCACTCTCTCTCTGCTGGAAGCCCTGTGTCTCTTTTCAGTGTCTGGGCCGGCACCCCTCGATGACCTCTGTGTGTATTGGCCTCAACCTCCCCTGGGTCTAGGAGGTTCCCAGCACAGGGGCCCCAGGTCCAAAGGCCACTCTCTGCTCTCAGCTCTTCTTCTGTGGTGGCAGTAGGTCCCGCTCTCTGCTGGCTTCTTTCTCCTTCTCTCTAAGATAAGGGGTGACACAGGACACACCCCGACTGTGACCCTGACACTGGCTCAGACTGTGACCCGAGTGAGGAGGCTGCCTCCCGTCATAGCCCCTGACATGGGACCACATCATGGAGGTGCCTGTGTCGTCACGTACCTGCCAGCCCACGGAGAACCATAGCCCGGACAGAGGACAGTGTGTGGGGGTGGGGTGGGGGGGACACCGTCTGGTCCGGGCAGGCACACTGCTCATTGGAATCGCTCTCTTTGTCTCGGTCAGTGTTATAGGTCACCTGGACACAGGCTTCTCTCTGCACGGGTCACATGACCCACTCCCTTGCCAGTGCGTGTGATGTAGTGTTTGTGTGACGTGCTGACCACTCCTCAGGCAGGATGCCACGCTCTAGTGGCTTGTGTGTGGCTGGAGGCCAGGCCACTGCTACTTCCAGTGCCCGTGGGGCCACCAGGGTGGGCAGGCATCAGTGGGACTTCTGTCCTAAGACATAGGAAAAAAGGAGAGGCTGTCCACCTCTGAGGGATGAGCCCGGAGGACCGTGGACACCAGCAGAACACTGTGTGCCCCGAGCCAGATGTGCCCCTCGGCTTGGCAGGCTCTCAAAGTACAAATGGAGAAGAGCTGCTGGATCACAGGGGGGTGGGGGGTGGGGGCAGACAACCAGGAGACCCTCAGCGTGACGAACACATGCACGACACGCAGGCCCAGGATGGGCTTCGTGGTTGGTGTGGACTCAGCAGCCCTGTGTGAGGCCGGGTGCACGAGAGAAACCAATCCAGCAACACGCATCTCGGTATAAGAAGAAGCTTTATGTCAAGCAGTCGTTACGTATGAAGAAAGCATCCAGCCCAGTCCAGCTCAAGTCCTTAAGTCTAGTACTGGTCCACCAGCCCCTCTTCAGACCCCGCAGCCACGCTGCGACGCAGGAAGCAGGAAGATTGCCGGCCGGTGGGTGCATCCAAGGTCGGTGGTGACATGGCTGGAGCTGGCAGTTTCCAGGGTGGCCCCCAGGGCCCCAGCAGGCAGGACGGCAGAGTGACGGAGAGGAGGATGTGCTCAGAGTCCTCCTTTGGAGATGGCCATGCCCCCAAGAGACAGTAGCAGACTGTGACCGATTGATAGGACTGACTCCAGCCCAGACATAACAGCATCTAACTAGCACAGTGCCTAAGGAGCGCATGTGTTATGGAGAGCCAGCGTGCTTTATAAAGCTCCGTCATGCATGTCGCAGTAGGTGGTAGATGCAAAATCAAGCCCAGGGCGTTTGGGCTTTGCACTTTGGTTTTCATGTGGAGCGTGGAGTAGCACCCAAGTCCTTTTTGAAAAGAGGTCACTCGGTCATGGGGTCAACAGGTTGCCATGGGTCCAACCCCAGGCACAATGATTAAGAAGGAGCCAGTTGTCCATGAGGGTCTGATACCCAGCATATGCCTCCTCAGATGCCTCATGTGCCATTATGTTTTAGGTGTTAAGTTCTAGTAAATTCCACAATTCCTACAAACTGAACTCAGGGTTCAGAGCTGGAGCCTCTGCTACGTGCTGTGTGGGGATCGGCTCTTTGGGATGGGTTTTCTTGTTGCCCCCACCCCCTCAAACGGAAGGAACTGGATGAGCTTGGTCCTGAGAGTCGTTGGGATTCTCTTCCCCGTTTCCTCCAGAGTCGGCTTCCAAGCAGGGCCTGGGGTTCTGAGTAGCCTAGTCACACGGCCTCTTATTTATAGTAATGACTTTGACAGAAGTCGTAAGTCCAACTGCTGACGTCACCAGCACTTCATATTTCTCTGAAGACTTTGGACGACCCCCGGGGCTCACATGGTCACCCGAGCCACACTGTGATCCTGCACAGCTACCAATCAGCCCAGCATGCTGTCTGGTGGTTGTGGGGGGCTGTGGGGGCCAATCACAGAGGCATTGTATCAACTGGCACTGACTTTTAAGGAAAGGATTGAGTGGTGTCTTATGAAACATGAGTGCAGGGGACTGAGAACTCCATTACTGCTGTGGGCGGATCTGCTCTGACTCACAGTGACTTGCACATATCCAAACACTGGCCCCTCCTGCACCGGCTTCATGACCCCGTGTGTGGGGCAAAGACCAGCCCCCCACAATTAATCGTGGGTTCGATAGGCGCATTGTATGGGTGAGATATATAAAGATTATAATAGTCATAGAGAGCATGAGAGATAGAGGAGAGATTGAAATAAGGGAGTCAGACACATTCCATGGTAGCATGCTCACCTCAGCCCCACTTGGTGGTCCACGTGGAGATTGGAGACCAGAGGACAGGAGAGAGGGGGAGGGGAAGGAGGACAAGCAGAAAGGGTACAGGGGAGTGAGGACGGGGGCGAGAGGACAGGAAGAGCTGAAAGAAATGTTTATTGCTAACCAAGGCTTATAACTACTTAGCGGGGCGTGATTACAGGTAACCACACATCACAGGAAGGGGCTGTACAATAGGCAATACAAGCAATAGGAGGGGGATATACAATGGGCATAAGCGTAACAGGAAGGGGATGAGCTAGGGGTGTATACATGATAGGAAGGGGAGGGACTAGGGGTATACATGTGACAGACCCTAGAATCATGATGCAGACCCTAGAATCATGATGGCGCCCTAACCTTGGTCACCCTTGAGTGGGCTTGACCTCCCTGGGCTCTCCTTCAGGGAAACAATCTACTACTATCCTTATCAGAAGGGAGTGGACCCTACTTGTGGGATGAACAGTGGTGTCTGCTTGCTCTGGATGGCTCATAACCCTTAAGGAGAATAACCCCTGACCCACTTCTGTTGACCTCCAAGTGTATAGTCATTTGCCACATGTAGCAAGCAGCTAAGTTTGGCATATATTTGGGGGGAACTACTTCAGAGAAATCTTTCAGTTTCCCACACCCGTGGGTGTGTGGAGGTCCAGCTTGGAGGCCGGGTGTTATCCCACCCCAACAAGGGTTGCCCTCATGTGGTAGATACATAATCTGTTGTCCATTTGAGGATTGAGAGTGAAGGGGTGGAGTATAGCCTGTCAATCAGGTCATAGCCAATGAGGCCTCTGTGTGGGCATGGCCTTCTAAGAATTCTGGGAACTCTTGTTTTTCCTCCATGGATGTGGGAGACGCTCTCTCTCTCTGCTCCCTCCCTGTGAGACATTGTAGCTGATAAGAAACAAAGAACCGCTGTAGTGCTCTGAGCTGGGGTAGCCATGTGGAGACTCCTGCCAACGCTGAGATGCTTATACCACCACTGGATCCACAAGACTTTCCAGCCACTGGCCTGTGATCTTCCTGCATTCAGCATCATTTCATGTGTTTCGTGAGTCTGAAGAGGACTTTATAGATTGGCAAATATAAGACTTATGGACTTGATCTGGACTGGGGCTGGGATGTTTTCTCAATATTCAATGCTCTGGTATATAAAGCTCTTATACACATGTGAGTGTCTATGAATTTGTTTCTCTAGTCTACCCAGGAAGTGAATGTTCTTCCTGTTGATGTGTCCAAAGGAAGTCAAGTCTCGGCACCCTTGGTTTTAGGGAACAGTCTAGTGTAGTAAGTGCCTGTGAAGCCCCTCTTCTATGGAGTCAATGCCAACTCACAATGACCCAATAGGGCAGAAATGCCCTTGTGCATCCCTGAGCCTGTCCGTCTTTAGGGGGGAAGACAGCCTCATCTTTCTTCCTTGGAGTGATTGTTGGGTTCGAACCACTGTCCTTCTGGTTAACAGCCACACCACGGGGACCCCATGAATGTCTCTCATGAAATGTAATTGGACATCTCAGAGAGTTGTAGAGCCAATGTCACACCTCGTGACAAAACAGACTACTTTTCTGGCTCAGAAAATACAATCCTCATATGAGAATAAATGCATGTGCTGCTCCCTCCCCCAGACCAGCATATAACTAAATAGGGCAGAATCACCTGATGAATTAAGGGCAACAGATAAAAACAGGCCATTGGCCACGTGTGAGGTCTTCTTAGGGGGAGACAGATCTGGGGCAGGGCACTGGAGAGTCACAGCCACAGGGGGTTCCAGG